ATTAGTCACAAAAAGGAAGACCTGGAATGGGAATCTGCATTCGCCGTTGTTTCTCAGCTTCAGCCTACTGAGGTGTTCGTTGACAGTTCAGGAGACAGTGTCCTGTTAGAAACCCCGTGACAATGTGAAAATTGTTTTTACGTAAATCAAGGAAAACCTTTGATTTTTCTCGGTGGTAAGTTCTGAGGAACTTTTTCGAGTGTCTTAGACCGTTGGAGGACACCTATTCCAAGTAACGGATGGAGTCTTCCTGGTTCTTCAGTTCCGCTTTCAGTTGGTTCCCGTCTGGAAAACAGAACGGTTCTGGATAGTTAGCGGAGTGTTCGCTCTTTTTCTAGCTAGATCATTTGATTTTTCATTGCCTTCTATCCCTTGGTGAGCAGGCACTCAGAGTAGGAGGACTTTATTTTCTTTGCCTATTTTGTTGAGCTTCTCTAGGCATTCTTTGACCAACTTTTTCTTTTTCAATTTCCTGTTTTCGACAGTTCCTATCTAAGATAAATTGTACGCATCTTTCGATAGCGTAAATTTCTGCCTGTAGGATACTGGAGTAGGTGCCTATTGGTTCGGAGTATTTAGTTTTCGGCCTAAATACCCCTGTCCCTGCTTTGGTTCTGGAAGCATCAGTATACCACGTTATAGCATGGTCTTTTACATGCTGAGTAAGCGTTTCTTCCTTCCAATCCTTTTTATTACTCAATACTACAGTGAGGTATTTCTCAAAGTTGTAAATTCTTGGTATGTCATGTCATCCACTGGGAGTTGGAGAAGTGGAATTTTCTTTTTGAGGGTGTTCCAAGCCCCTGATCTGAAAATTCTCCCAGTACTGTTTTCGTCAATGATCATTCTAATCATTGTCGCAACGGTATAAGACACTCAAATAGATTTCTCATTACTTACGACCGAGTTTTTGATAATTTTTAGTTCAAAGGGAATAACGAAACTCGAAATCATCACCAATAGTAATTTAACATTATTAAATATAACAATATAACAATTATTTTATAACTTATTTAAATTAAATTTAAAGAGTAGAATTTCTTTGTTTTGGCTTGTGAAACGTGGTTTTATTAACGTCGATGGTCTTTTGATTGCAAAATTAGCTTACCAACGATCTAATTTCTTAAGGAAACGTTGGCGTGGTGCGACGCAAGAGCTGACTGGCTGTCTTTTATAAAATTTTTACACTCAGCAAGAAACGAGTAAAAACAACCTCGATTACAGTCTTTTACAATTTTATTCAACTAAGCACTTAGACCAACACACAATAATGGTTTTAATGAGTTGAAATGTGTGTTAAAAAAACTGCATATAAATGACATTTTTTAGAACAGTCAAATATAGTGATGTGCTTTAGAATTTTTAAGCTTATTTTGAATTTTGCGGTCTTAATTTAACGTCGTTTTTTTCTAGATTTTTTTATACAACTATTCCTGGCAAAAGAAGTCTATGAAGTCATAAGTTTACCATAAACTACATTGTTTATTTAATGAATCCATATATGTTGTTCGAAAATATAATTATTTATAAATTCCTATGTCTCGATGCTCGATGATTATATATTTTAATATATTCTTGAAAAGTTTTAATAATGGATGCATTACAATGTATATGGTCACAAATATTATGCGGATTGGTTCAACATTAGTAATAATCACACATTTTTTCACTAAAATGTTCTCTGAAGAGCCTATTACGCTGTACTGTATCACTGTAATCACAAAATTTTAATTTATTTCCGTATTATAACGGAATTTTAAATTATATCTTTATTTTCGAGAAAATTTAGTCAAAACATAAGGAATATTTTGTTCATGTTTGACCATCGAAATCTCGAATCATAAATGACCTAAATACAAAATATTTTCATGTCAATAAGTAGTTCGTTTGCAGTAAACTCGAAAATGTTTGATCTTCTATACAGAAGCTATCAAAGACGATTATACAGGCTCTTACGGTTTCCATAAAAAAACCTTATTATTAGATATTTTCGAGGATATCAATATATAAATAGGTATATGTCAAGATAAGCAAATAAACATTTTCAAAATCAAATGTGCAAATAAAATGTGTGTTGAAAAAATGGGGGTTGAATCACTAAGAGAAAATCCAAGAAATAAACCGTTATTATTTAAGAAATAGTGTTAGAGAAGTTGATAATATTAAAAAATATATTTTTTAACTTGAAATTGCATAAAAAGCTTCATTCAGTATTTCGAAATTACTGGAATAAATTAGTGGTTTCAATTAGCATAGAAGTTTGTTCCTCTAATTCCAATGTAAGCATTCGGAACGTTAAAATTAGTGGTAGTTAACAAACTTTTAACTTTTTTTCACTAATTATACCGTATGATCGAAAAAAAACGGCGTCCAGTTGGCTGGGAAATGACGATCGATGACATTTCCCATATAAATTTACATATAAAATGACAGCGATCTTCATTTCATAGCCATCGCTGACGCCGTTTTTTTAATGGGGAAAGTCAGCTTCCCCAGAATGCGACTACAACACCGGCACATAGTAGAAGCATGCCCATTAAGATCCTATTCCGGGCCCTTTGATGATTTCCTGGGAGCTACAGACAGTGCAGTCGCTTTGAATAAGAAGACTAAGGAAGGAGCATAATGCTATCCATGTATTCATGCATGGTGAGCCAGGCTCCACCATAAAGCTCTCTAGGGTGGGGATCCTTGACAGTTCTGTTTGACGATTCATTTTGACACATTTGAATTTGATTTGAAATTTGTGGATTTGTCAGTCTTTACAGACTTATTTTATGTTATTTATTATTTATTCTACTACTGATAGTTGTATAGATAGTAAATCTAGATGGAAATTGTGGCAGAACCCAAATTAACAGTGACACTGCGATTATCGAAAAAGACTCTAAAATGATTGGTTGTGTAGCGTGCAGTGAATCTCGGCAAAAAATTGAGTGAAATAATGGAACAACTTTTCGCTAGTAAGTGACTATATATATACATGCACGTGTAATGAAAACACACCGACTATGAAATTCACTTAAATTAACTAAATTATATATTTTTCTTGCATTTTTTAGCTTTTATTTGTACTTGTCAAAGATTAGATGTCAAAAGAATTTAGATACGTTAATTTGACTTACCTGCTTCAGTAGCGTATCGGATGTTTGTGTTAATAATACTTATTATAACTTATCTATTTTATTAGGAATTATATATTTTATAACAAATTTAATAACTACCAACATTTATTTACAACGTAAATAAACAACAAATTGTTATTAGTCTACCCCACGTCTACCCACATCATGGCACACATTTTTTTAAATAAAATTAAGAACGACACTGATAAACCGGAATTTAAGTCGGCCATATTTGAGGCCCATCGCGGTGTACCTAAGATTTTTTGTTATGCTCCTTCCTTAGTCTTCTTATTCAAAGGTGCAGTCGAATACATCCGTAATTTAGATGTTTGTTTTTGATACTTGTTATATGTATATTTCTATATTTCAGACTTTGTCAGACTATTATTATTGTTGTGCACATATTTATTTCCTGATCTTTACTTGTACAATGATTATGGTTCCGTGTTTTGTTGTGATGTTTAGCCATACGATAGATAGATAGATAGTAATGAAATATTTGAATGTCCGGAGTGCGGAAGATAACATCACGTATCGGGCTTTTCAGTCACAGAAAAGCTCATGATAGAAAACGTTTTGCGTAACCGTCTTCTGATGCGTATCAAATACTCGTCAGCTAGTAACGGCAGTAATAATATGCTTTCTGGAGACAACTGGCTGCCGCAAATTGGTGCTAGGATATTCTATTAATTTTAATTGCTGTATATTCTAGACGTTGTGAAATGTGAATGATCGTAAACTCCTAAGTGAAGTATAATTATTGAAACCACTAATTTCAAGGTTCTGAATGAAGCTTAAGACAACTTTTTAAACATTGAAAATTACATTTTTTAGAACACTTGTTAGATTTTTATTCATTCCCAAATTTAAAACTAAACTATGACCTTCTATAAACAAGTGAAATAATAGCTTTTTTAGTTTATGATAGTTATTTTTTCTTTGTTCGTTCTAACATTGGCTCGATGATAAGATAAGATAATCGATAATTGTTTCTTGAAAATAAGAACACGTATCGATTTTGAAGGTGCATCAATATGTACAAATTATGTTCTTTTAGTTTTTACAAAAATCGTTTTAATAGTTAATAACGATGATTAAGATAACCGAGTTATTTTAGTCCGTTTATTGGAGTTTTGTTTTTGAATATTTGAGAGACATACAATAAAATTTAAAGTGTCATACACATACTATTCATTATTCACTTACAATACCGATGCAAGAAAACAGTCATTAGATTTGCTATCTGTCGAATTGATAGGTCATGATATGTCATTTTCAATATTAAACAGTACGATAATTTAAAATTGCAGTGATAACATTAAATAATGCTTAAATGGGAACTATTAAGATTAATAAGGAACATTCAATCTGATTCAGTCCATGGAGAATAGATCCCCCAAAAGTCGTTTACTTTAAAGAGTCAAAAAATAAATAAAAATATAGCACTAAAAATTGAAAATAAAACTAAAAAATGTAAAAACAATCCTAAAAATTACGAAAATAAAGTAAAGAAATGAAGAAATGACATTATTTCTGAGAACTTCGCATTTCAAATCTTATCTAATCGCGCTTATTTTTCTTCACGGAATGCTGCCAGTTTTTCGCTTTGACAAAACCCGCCTATCGACCCAATGACACATTCGACTCGAAACCCGCTGGTACTATTCGCTAATCGTAGGTACTATCTTGATTCAGTATCGTCGGCGGTACGATCGCCGTTTGACGAAATTTCGTTCCAATTCGTGAAGGTCGTACCGGAAATCATCGCGCGCCGCATCGAAAACCCGCCGGCCGTAGTCTAGCAAGGTGCGCCACAGCAGTACCTACACACCACGAACTCTGACTCTCTCTAAAACGCGCCGTGTTGTGTTTCAGGTGACAGCAGTAGCGACGCAACCCGCCGAACACAGCACCACGACCACCACCACCCCCTCCAAGGACCATGTCGACGAGGTACCGGCTAAACCCAAAGCTAAAGTCAAGATAACACCGAGGAAACCAAAGGCTACCGTCACTGTTCCGGAATACACCAGGAAAAAGGAGTCGGACTTTATTCATCCAGACGATTTCATCCATCACTCTAATGGGAAAGTGTACATCAAAAACAAGTGTAAACTTTGTAATTTTAAGTCACCCTGGGACAGCGAGATGGCCAAGCACGAAAGAAAGTTCCACAGTATCGAAAGAGACTTGATAGGGGTTAAGAAGAACCAACGTCCTATCCCAAACCTTATTCCAATCCCAGCCCAGTTGAAGCATCAAAGGGTTCATCACATCAGAAGCGTCGAGATTCCTGAACCAAGAGAACCAACTATGAGCGAGAAGGATATCAGCGATATCTGTCGCAGATCAGCTAACAGTGCTCTCAAAGACTTTGCCTCCCTGTTTAGTTCAGAAGATGTCTTCAGAACATCGGCGTCTACTTCGAAGGTACCTGATTTAATCCCAGCGTTTCCTCTTCAAATTAAGGCCCAACGCAACTTCAAAAACAAGACCTCCATGTCGTTTTTCGATAAGTTTAATGAAGAACTGGGTTCCAGATCGAATCTGATCTGTAGTTTGTGCGGACATGAAAGCAAGTGCCTCACCGAGCAAGTTAAACACCAAAAACTGTGTGGTAAAGAGGCTAACAGAGTTCCTAACATAATTCCTGTGCATAACATCAGTGCTTCTCGATGCCAGTATTGTAGACACAGGTGTAAATCCAGTGCAGACTTGCACAATCACCTGCAAACTTGCTCGGAGGCTTTGAAGGTTTTTGGAGATGACGCGTTCTCTGAGCACGAGAATGAGTTAAAAATTGATGAGGACAGGCAGAGTATTGAGGATGAACTTGATATCAAACCTCACCCGATGGAAAATAAAGTGTTTGTATGGAACGATATTATGGTACCTATGGATATCGAGGTTGATGACTCAAATTACGAGTATACTGATGATAAAAACGACGATGTAGCTTCTATGGACTTGTCAGTGTACTCCCAGTCTCCTGCGTTAAGTGATAACAGTGATAACAGACAAGAAAACAATAATAACCTTAATACAAACAACAATCACACTATTCACAATTCTCCTGTAACAACAACCGAGAAAATTCCAACCCACGGAAACGACATCTCTGTTGCCCAGCATAAAAGAGTCTTTAAGTGTCCACACTGTACTTTCTGGGCTTCTACAGCCTCGAGATTCCACGTCCACATTGTAGGGCACTTAAACAAGAAACCTTTTGAGTGTTCTTTGTGTTCGTATCGGTCAAACTGGCGATGGGACATCACAAAACACATCAAACTGAAGTCTGTGCGTGATCAAGCTCATGAAACGGCGAAAGTTTTGATGACTGACGAAACTGGGAGAAGGAATTATTCAAAATACAACAAATATCTTACAGAAATACCGTTGAGTAGTCTTCAGTCTTCTTCGGAGACTAGTGGAGGTTCTGGGACCAGACCAAGGAACTATGATAGAAACTCATCACCTTCTACTAGCAAGTCGGAAAAGAGTAAGATGCCTGCGAGTGGGGATTTGGGTTCTTTGTTGAAAGTGGGAAATTTGAAGCCGCCGCCTGGATTGAAGGCTGTGGACAAGCATTTCCTCGAGAAGAGGTCTGCGAGTTCCGAAGGGAAAAGGACTCTTTTCAAGTGCAAGAAATGTAATTTCAGGTGAGTTTTTTTTTCAAAAAAATATCGATTTTGTTATCTAGATAAGTATTATTAGCTCATAGCGTTTTAAAACTTTTATCTTTTATTTTTTTGATGTTTTTCGAATAAAATGCACTTTATTTATTGAATAGAATTCTTGATAAAAACGTTTAATATATCTATTTGTATTGAGTGAAAGATAACAAAAAAATACAGTAAATAACTTATTTCATATTGTGAAGGGTTATTTAAAATCTATCCAGATATGTAAAGTATACTATTTTTTATGTTTTGTGAATGAAGACTACGGTTGTTCACAAATCTAATGAGTATGGTTCAAAAAGTATTTTTATATACCGGGTGCATCTCAAAAGTGGCTCACCTCTCACCTCTATAACTTTTTTATTTTTTCAGATAAAAAAACGAGATTTGGTATGTTACTATATGACCTACTCACTCTGGTCACTTCCTGTTTCACCGGAAATAACTACAATTCTTGATTTTTAAATGGCACCCTGGGTATTTTTTTACTAAATTCGATAGAAAATGATACTCTGGGTAGAATGACATATATGTCAACTTTTGACTTTTTCTCATATGGTTTATTTGAAATTGTAACATGCGGATCATAACGACAATTTGACTCGAAATACCAAGTGTATGGTACCAAATTATTCGGAAAAAAATGCTTTTTCCAAATATGCTAATGAGCCACCCTCGTTTTATTTAAAAAAATTGAGATATGATTGAATAAAATATGATTTGCGCATCAATCTATTTTTCCAAGGCTTCATGGATTAAAAATTAGTTTTTTAACGCAGCCATGGCACTGTAGATTAAAATTTAAAATACGATTTTTTTAAATCGAAAATGTCAAAAGTTGACATGTGATATGTCATTCTATTCAGAGTGACATTTTCTATCGAATAAAGTAAAAAAGTACCGTGGGTGCCATTTAAAAATCAAAATTTGTAGTAATTTCCGGTGAAACAGGAAGTGACCAAAAACAATTGAATACGTCAATCAATCCTAATTTATGTCATATACTAACGTACCAAATCTCGTTTTTTTATTTGAAAAAATAAAAAAGTTATAGGCGGTGAGCCACTTTTGAGGCGTACCCGGTATTGCGTGGTGATTTCAAGTAGATAGATAAAATAATTAAGTTGTATTTTTAAGAAATGCCCTGTATATTGTAAAGTTTTTTTCTCAATTATTCTTAGGTTGTGTTTTATTTCAGGGCAATATTGGGTAAATTTTAAAATATTTTCGTAGACTTACTTTACAGAGTGACCCAAGTATATTTTCACTCAAAAGTTGTAGATTTTTAAAGGAATACTATTTATATTTTTTTTGCTTAATGGATTTGTCATAAAAATACCAGATTATAATCTATACTGAATGGTTTTTCAAATATCAACATTTTTTATTTTTTTCATTGGAAGTACCATACGATCGAAAAAAAAAGCGTCAAAGACGGTTGGGAACAATCAATGATAATTTTGGCGAGGTCAAGCCCTAGACGTCAGTACTTAGTACGTAATGTTCTTTATTTCTTAATGGCGCTTACGGCCAGTTGGCCATAAAGTAGGTTGTAATTTATTTTTATATTGAGTAAAAATTATTATTAAATGGGGTAGTTTAAAATTCGAAAAAATATTTTTTGGAAATAGATTTGTGTGTCTGAAAACATTCTATCCTTTTTTAATTCTTCTAAAATTAGTGTTAATTTTTCATAAGTTTTATGTCAATTTTTAATAAATAGCATCTACAGATTGGCCTCGCCAAAATTATCACCGGTTGTTATTCCCTAGCCAACTTTAACTCCGTCTTTTTTTCGACCATACGGTATTTATGTGCCATTTTCAAAATTCAATATTTTTTAATATCCCATTTAATATCCTTTTCAATTTTTTAGTTTAAGTATGGTCATATTTCATAAACCATTCGAAATAATATGTTATTACCTCGGGTTTTATACCTATGTTATACCATGGTAGTATTTTTTAAATTGGGAATTTTATAGTAAACTTTCTGATCAAAAGAAATATATAATATTCCACTTAAAAAAATAATTATTGTACTTAAATATTATCCCAAAAATCTTCTATTGAATCGCCTTACGTGAAACACCCTGTATAAGCAAAAATCAAGCCAAGTAAGTGTGCAAAATAACGTATGGAATAATTAGCAGTCCTAAAATTCCTTCTTGCTTATCTTTTTACACGTCTTAAAATTGTTTTGTTGACAAAAACGACTACGTCACCTTTATTAGTGTTCCCGTTTTATTTGTAGAACAGTTTTCTCTGTGGATCGAACAACGATTCAATTGAACAATTGGTAACCTATTAGGAGACAGAGCAGAATTAAATATAAATCTGTGGGTCGATAAGTCGATATAGGATAGATAGAAAGAAATATATAGCAAATACAGGGTTTTGCAGACAGGCCGTCTAAAGCCTGTCCACCAAGACGATATATGACTGTGACAGGTATTGTCTGGCAGTTTAAATTCACAGATAAACTATATTTTCAGGCATTTTTTCGATGTCAGCTGTCGAAATGTTGCTTGACTCATTCGTGGGACAGACAGAATCTAATTTAGCTATGCCCCACCTAGACCTAACGTTTTAGCTGTCAGTTTTGTATGTCAGGCAAACCGGAAGACTGTTGTTGAATAGAAATTTAGCACTACAACCCGGGCTGGGTCTTCGCGGACTTCACAAATTGTCCATCATTGGTTCTTCTGCTCGCTCTATATATACATGCGAAGGATAAGTCGAATATACTTCGGTAGCGGATATACTCCGTATAACCGCAGTAACATTATCTGTCCGCTGCATTCTTCCCGTATCAGCTTGACGATACATTGATGTTGTCTCTTCACATGGCCGGCTCATCTCAGTCTTTCAGACTGTATTATTTTTACTCTGTCTGGCTGGTTATGTAGTTCTGAAAAATCTCTGTTTGTTTTTATTCTATATTGCTGTGTGGCGTTTGGGGTTGTCCTTTACTGGTCTGTATATCTCTCTAAGAATTCTTCTTTCTGCAAATTTTAGCTGGTTTTCATTTTCATGGTCTGTCATTAAAAATGCATATTATTATTTTTGTTGACACTTATTCTGGCAGAGATGAGGTGTTTTCTTAGGTGTCTTCATTAGAATCAGAAGGAAAGGCATGCTTTTAATGCTAAGATTGTTATTAATATAAGTTTTCTTAGCTTCAAAAGCGAATATCTCGAACAGAAAAAGAGCTGTTGAGATGAATCAAAAAACAAACTATCCAGAAAAGACGCACCTGGATGATAACGTGGTTTAAATTTCTTTCTTTGTTAAACAATTTCAAACGTTCCAAATAATATAAAAAAATGTAAAAGTTATACCTTGTATGTAATTATATATCGAGAAACTATGGTTACGCTCGTTGAATTTGACATTTTATGTCAGTTTAATAATATATTTTTGTACTTTTATGCTTAGGCGCACTAGGCGTAAAAGTGCTTTACTTTTATGCCTAGGCGTTAAAATAACTTTTTTATATTGTCAATCGCGTCCCAAAAATTAATACTTTTGTGACGTTTGAAAAAAAAAATCATATTGAACTTAAAAATACAGGTATTCTTTTTTTCGTGCAGTTGATATGATAAGCTTTTCCGGGATACTCTGCTCGCCCTGTATTTCTTCATGCTCTACTTTTAAGAGCAAGCATTACGAAATCGATTTGTTTTAACCACATAGGCGTGTAAATGTAGCAATAAAAGTGATAAGGAAAATTTTCTTCCTGCCGATAAGAATGTAAACTTGTCTTAACTACACCTACTACGCTCGGTAATATTTAGCTTCTTTTATTTTCCAACCAACCCAGTTTTTCTTTATCACTACCAATAAACAAATAAAACGTGTTTTGTGTGATTCGCGTCATTACTTGTGTTATCGTTTAAAGAAAAGAACAATACCTGTGTACGCGTATTTTTTAATTAGGAAAAATATATTACTTGGAGTTTATGTATAGGTTCGAATGTATGGAATATATCGTTTCTGGTCGTTGTGTTACCATTAAATTACATTTTTATCGCTTTGGAAAAAAATTAGCACGAAGAATCGGCGTGTGCGTTTTCCTTCTTTTTTTGTTTCGATAATAAATATACAGGATGATCGTAAAACTGTTTCTTGAAAGTTATAACTATATTATCTAAATACTAGAGCAACTGACTGCTATACTGTCCAAAACACGAACTTGTGAAAGAATGCGTTTTAATTTTTGTTGGAAACTCCAAAAATGATGCACTTTATACATTCCATCTCACATAATTTTTGTCTTACTATGATAAAAAGAAAGTCTCACAACGTCAAAGCGCAGCTTTTTCACAAAAAAAACACGTAAGATCAAACTGAAAAATGTAAACAAAGCAAAAACTCCAAAGATTTGATTGAAATTTGAAAGCCAAAAGATATACCTAATGATTTTTCAATTCTGAATATGTTACTATGAATTAATTGATACAGAAGCGTATAAACATTAGATAAAATAATAATTAATAAAAATGTACCTATAAACAGTATGGCTAAAATTTATACAAGGTGTCTTAAATAAGTTCAAATATTTTCGTGGCTGGTAGTAGATCTCAATAAAAGAAACATATTTTCTTTTTACCGTTTTTCAAAGAAGTCCAAAATAACCGAGCTATTCCAAGTTCGACAATTACAAAAAAAAATTGATTTACATATTTCTTTGAATAAGAAGACTAAGGAAGGAGCATAATGCTATCCATGTATTCATGCACAGTGGGCGGAAAAAGGACTCTAGGATGGGGATCCTTGACAGTTCTGTTTGACGATTCATTTGACACATTTGAATTTGATATGAAATTTTGTCACTCTTTACGGAGCTTATTTTATATTATTTATTATTTATTCTACTACTGATAGTTGTATAAAGGTAGTAAATCTAGATGGAAATTGTGGCAGAACTTAAATTAACAGTGACACTATCGCGATTTATTGAAAAAGACTCTAAAATAGTTGGTTGTGTAGCGTGCGGTAGATCTCGGCAAAATGTGAACGGAAATAAGTCTACCCCACGTCTACCCTACATCATAGTTTTACATTTTTTAAATAAAATTAGAACGGCACTGATAAACCGGAATTTAAGTCGGCCATATTTGAGGCCCATCGCGGTGGACCTAAGATTTTTGATATGCTCCTTCCTTAGTCTTCTTATTCAAAGACATATTTTTAAAAAAATTTGAGAGCCACCGGATTTTTTTTAATTTGAACCCTTTTTAGTGCCGTAACCATGGTAATATCAGAAATTAACAAATTATACGGTGGGAATTTGCGGTGAATAGGCAGTTCTAAAAAGTTTTCTAGAATGTACAGGAAAATTTAAGAGAGAATACATTGATTTTCAATACCTTTTTTGCAAGAAAACCTCATAGACGTGTTCCTGGGGTCGAAATACTCACCCTGTATAGTACTCATACCATCTTCGTTAATAAACTTTTTTGATAAATAAGTAGCAACATTACATTTTTCTGTTTACATCCGACGTATATCTTGAGTATCTTCATTTTGTACTGTAAGTTTTGTTTATTTATATTATTTGACTGAGATGTAATTCTTTAACATATTCAGTCGATAGACTTTGAGTTAATATCTAAAAGGGTACAACGAAGATCACAATCATAATATGCGAAAAAAAATTATAAACAACACTCTTCACTTTTAATTGCTTTGTTATTTGCAATGTTGCTATATTTCATAATATTACAGTTTCAGATAAAATATTTCTTGAGAATTTATTATTATATGCAATTTTTTTTCTTTTATAGCCTAAAACATATACAGGGTGAGTTTTCTACGATGTTCTCTATGGGTATCTCGGAAACTACTACTGGAGATAGATAACTATATATATATAGATTTTTTCTAAAGCCTGTCTTTTATTTTCATATGACACAAACATATATTTTTTTAAATGGAAACCAGAATTATTGGTCATGACTTTATAAAAATTAAAAATGATGCAGAGACAACTTTACGGACAAGACATTTTTCCAGATTAATATTAAGACATTAAAATTGACAAATGTAAATGAGGCTTTTGATTCTCATAATTTAGGATCCTGAAAAATTAATTTGATTTTAGTACGGATCTTTTAGGGACGCTCTGTATATATACCGGTACGTTTTCCTTCGAAATTGCGAACTTGTTTGTTCTTTTAGTCAAGGTTTGTGCAGTTTTTCTTTTTAATTATGTCATTAGTTTAAATAAGTAATTACTGTAGCAGCGCATAATTATTATTTTGTGGCAGTGCAATTAGAAAATATTCTTTTAATTCAACACGTGGACTTTTTTTAAATGCATTTTATTTGCGGGTTACGATTTCCGTAAATTATTGAAAAAAAAACACGTTAATTAAAAAAGTCGGGAAGCTTATAATTTAAGGTTGAAAAGGTCATAAAGGTCTTTATGTTTATGAAAAAGTTTATTATTTTGTATTTGTGTATTTATCGTAAATACCGGGTGCGTCTCAAAAGTGGCTCACCCCTATAACTTTTTTATTTCTTCAGATAAAAAAACCAGATTCGGTATGTTAGTATATGACATAAATTAGAATTGATTGACGTATTCAGTTCTTTTCGGCCACTTCCTGTGGTCACAAAAATGGGAAGAATACGGGATCACTAAATAACCACAGTGGCGCTAATGACGCATAAATCTAAAAAATTAAAAGTAACCATAGATAAGAGAATAAAAGTAAGATAACCAAATATTACCCAAAAAGATTTATTTTTATTTTTTAGAATATAAAAGAATTTTTTTTATATATTAGAGGCCCAATCTATTGCTGCTGAATAAAAATCGATAATTTATTTTATGTGACACGAAAATAAAATTTGTATTTTTTTGAAACCCGTGCCTTCACGTCAAATATTTATCTCCTTTGAATCATTTCCTGTTCTAAAAATTTTCGGCGCATATTTTAAATTCTAGGTTTTTGCTACAGCAGCGCCATCTTAAGTCTTCCCTTTTTTATGACCATTTTTTAATGCAGGAAGATATTTTTCCTTACCTCCACACTAGAGTCGAAATATACTACCCCAAAATATTTGCACTTATTTAAGACTCACCCTGTATATAATACAATGTTTACACAGCATTTTACTGAAGCTTTGCTTTACATTTTCAGGGACGCCTCCAGGGAAATCCTGCTCCAGCACGTCAAGGGCCACTACCCGGCCCACTTCGACCCTCAGGACCCCCTCTACCAGCAAGCCATGGTGGTGGCGGCCGCCCAGATGGCAGCAGCCGCCGCCGCGGCGTCTTCCCCCTCTCTCCTCTGCCCGCCCGGCTCACCGTCGCCATCCTCCAACCTGTCAAACCTGTCATCTTCCGCTTCTTCGCCGTCGGGGACCTCTGCTGCGCCGCGGGATCTAAGCTTAAGGGGTACGAGTCCTGATAGAGACGATGAGGCAAGTGTAAATAACAACAAGGCAACGGCAGCCGCGCAGAAAGGCTGCGCAGCGACGGCGGCGGGAGGCGTCGTCGGTGCGCACGCTGCGGCGCCGCCTTTCCGTTGCGGCCATTGTAATCAGGTGTCTAACTGGAAGCATGTGATTCAGGTATACTAACCAGGCCTACTAACCGTACTAAACGTGTTTTTTGTTTGTTCTTGTGTTGCTTTCGTGTATTCGTCTCTCTTTTTTTTATAATAGGAATTTTGGTCAAAAAAATCGTATTTATACCTGAAAAAAGTCGGAGGGGGTTAATCTTTTTTTGATATAATATAACAACAAAAGATTAACACCCTCCGTATGGAAGTTGTAGCCAATGCAATCAAAAACCTTTCGAGCAACTTCGTGGTTATAGATAGTCAGATCTCGGTAAAATAGTAGTTATGGGAAGGAGCCGTTCTTCTGGCGACGACCTTTCGTAATCCCAGAATGAGCGAAAAAAACACGCCAAATTTAAGTTTAGCATTGGCAACGTTGCTTTAAATGCCAGAAACATATAACCCAATATTTTCAGATTGTTTACAAATTTATTTTAGCAAATTTTCCTCTATTATGCATTATGAATTGGTTAAAAAAGTAACAGAAAATAGCAAAAACAACATTGTTTATTGAATACCTAACAAAATATGTGCCAGAAAACCTTAAAAATATGATAAATTAAGAAAAATTCGATGTTGAAATAATTTTTCGTTTTTCTGAGAAACGGTAAAAGACCGCCAGAAAAAGAAGTTCAAATTCGTAATCTACGATCTCAAAATAGGGTGTATACCCTAAAAGAAAATCGGACGATTTCCTGTTTTCCCAATAATTACCGGAAATAGTTATTTATGCAACTTACTTCTCAGACTGCAGTCAAAAGGGTCAAAAGGGTAATAAAGGAATAGAATTTTGAACACCCTGCATTAATATAATAATATTTATACAATTACCATATTTATAGCAAAGTAAGTACAGACCACCTAAAAGTAAATTTCTAATATGATTTTGATTTCAGGACAGTTCTTGTATTTGTAACATTTTTATAAGGAAGCTTGAAAAATATATACTTTTTATTTATTTATTAATATCTCTGAAATTACCGAAATATACTTACTCGTATCTTAGGATAAATGATCTGAAACGAAGCCAAAAATGCAATAATATACAGGGTGTTCCATTTAAAAAAAATCATCCCGATCCACTCGCACTTTTTTGAACCACCCTATAGAAGTTAAAATATTTCCTGAAGTAGATATACAGGGTGTCCCAGCTTGAGCATGCATTAGAAGTTTCTAGAGACCTATAAGATCTAGATCAGAGATTTTTTTGCATATCATTGTTTTACTATGAGATCTATCGATTAAAAATATTTTCAATATGGCGGCACTTCCGGACTTAAATATCCAGTTACTTAAATTCCCTGTAAAATTTTATGAATTTTTTTATCAAACACTCTAGGTATAGAGACATTAACCGTTTTTCATTTGGTTAGGTTGAGTTTTTTTAAATATATAAAATATTTGGAGGAAAAACACTGCCTATCAATTTAGTAAAACGTCAAATTTAGTGATTACCACAGCCACTGTAACTTTGTGGTTAAGAGATCATGTTAAAATATTAAAATTACTTACAAGTTATAATTAGATATTTTATATTATTTCAACAACAAACACGTAATAGTACAGCAGCGTAACGTTGATATGCAGGTCCAAAACAAAAAGTGCCGTTATATTTTTCAGTTTTCGTTGTCAGCCGCGGAAGTTTCAGTGATTTTAGTGTTGTCGGATATTTTTATTTGCGAAATAGAAATATTGCGTTTGGATTGAAAAAGTAAAAGTGGAAGTTTTATTGGAATGTAAGTAAGCGTTTGTCCATATTATATTTTATTTTTTTCATACCTACGACAAATATACATATACTAGCGTGTACCAGCGACTTCGTTCGCGTCGAATTAATCATTTGTAATGGCGATGATAAAGCAAAGCAAGAATTTCCATTAACATACAAACTGGATAAAATTTTGTCACATTTATGTCAGCATGAGAAAAAACAATATGGCGATATTATTATATAACTTGGTAATACATTTTTGAGAAAATTCCTTTGCCAAAAATAAGCTTTTTACGTCAAGTAGTTTAAGCAGAATCGTGGTTAATCAATTACCCAACTTTTTGGAACACCCTGTATGATTTTTTAAAAAATTTCAAAATATGTAAGCAAACAAAATAAATTATGCTTGTCCAAGCGTTTTCCCGAAAGACTAACCGTTTTTTAAATAACAAATATTGTAATATTTGAGGGGCGTTTTCAACCTCTTGGAATTTGAGATTCGAGAAACCCCTCCTTATCGAACCTCTACACCCCACAGTCAATCCATTTGTCAAAAATCAGCTTTAAACGTCAAGCAGTTTAAGCAGAATCGTGATTACGCAATGGTCATATTTTATGGAACACCCTGTATAAATTTATAAAAAATCTTAAAATATGTAAAACAACAAAATAAAATATACGTGTTTAAGAGTTTTTCCGAAAATCTCACCGGTTTTTAAATAAACAATATTTTAATATTTGAGGGATAGTTTCACCCCATTAGAATTCGAGTTTCGAAAAATCCCTTCTTATCGAACCTCTACACTCTAAAGTCAATCTGTTTGCCAAGGATCAGCATTTTACGTCAAGCGCTTTAAGCAGGATCGTGATTAATCAATTACCAGATTTTTCGAAACACCCTGTATACATTTTTAAAAAATCTTAAAATATGTAAAATAACAAAATAAAATATACGTGTTTAAGCGTTTTTTGGAAACTTGGCCGTTTTTAAATAATAAAAATATTGTAATATATTTGAGGGTGGTTTCACCCTCTTGGCATAGATTTCGAAAAAATCCTTTCCTATCGAACCTCTACACCCTAGAATCAACCTGTATGCCAAAATTGGGCTTCTTACGTTGAGTGGTTTGAGCAGGATCGTGATTAATCAGTATGTCAGTCACTTAAGGATTTTATATATTAGTATAGATTGAAATTTTATAATTTGTTTTATTTAAAAAATGTCAGAAAACAAGCTTGTAATCCTGTAATTGACATAATTGTTATTTAATATATTCCATTTAAATGTAATATATTACTTTACAATTAAAAAATGTAAATTTAAAAAATATATTAAAAATATATACAAGCATTAATTGAATTTTTTTGAGTGTGAACAAACACGAGAGGCGCTTTATTATTTACTTTCATTTCTTAACATGATAGACGAAGTTCTAAAGGGGGATGTTTGTGACTGTATACAGAACACATATAGATATACGCTTTCAAACTAAATCTTAAATAACTTAAAAACTATTTATTTGAGATATAGGAACACGTATAATCAAAAAGTAACGAATTAAAAACCTTTTCACTAGTGAAATAAAAAAAGCGGGTTTCCATTTAAAAAAAAGATTTTTGATAATTTTTTAATCTCTCGCTTCCATGATAGCTACGGCCAATATTAATATTATGACATTCCAACAATTTAATTTTTAAAATAGATAGCAACATGTCTTCTCTTTATGTCACAATATCTGTGGTAATCACTAAATTTGACGTTTAGGTTATACCGTTTTTTTTTTCTCCAAAAATGTTAAATACTTTTTTTTCAAAAACGGTTAATGTTAGGTATAGACTGTTTGATATCAAAATTCATAAAATTTTATAGAGAATTTAAATATGTAAAAAATGGGGGGTACCCATTTAAAATAAAAAAGTTTCTGGACATCCGGTATTTCCGGAAGTGCCGCAATTGTGCATTAAATTGAAAATATTTTAATCGATAGATCTCATTGTGAAACTTTTGCACATAATTGTGAAACAATTATGTGCAAAAAATCTCCAATCTAAATATTGTAGTTCTCTGACATCCTGTATAAAATAATGTTACCCTGTTTTATTAAAAACACAAAACAAATCAAATAAACGTTTATTAATTAAATGAGACCAAAAGCATATTTTTTTTCATTTTGTTTTCCTAATAAATACACAGGGCAAAAAACATTTTATAGGTCACAGCTCGATGTCCACTTTTTATTCTCCTTTTTCTCGATCTCTTTCTTGTCGCAGAGACTGTCCGAACAGGTTTTCCTCTTGACCCTCAAATCGGATTTGTTATTCATAGTCGGCTCGGTGATACTCTTGCCCAAATTCTTTTTGAGCAATTCCAGCTTTTCGCGCTCTTCTTGTTGCTTGTACGTCTCAGGGACGCCTCCAGGGAAATCCTGCTCCAGCACGTCAAGGGCCACTACCCGGCCCACTTCGACCCTCAGGACCCCCTCTACCAGCAAGCCATGGTGGTGGCGGCCGCCCAGATGGCAGCAGCCGCCGCCGCGGCGTCTTCCCCCTCTCTCCTCTGCCCGCCCGGCTCACCGTCGCCATCCTCCAACCTGTCAAACCTGTCATCTTCCGCTTCTTCACCGTCGGGGACCTCTGCTGCGCCGCGGGATCTAAGCTTAAGGGGTACGAGTCCTGATAGAGACGATGAGGCAAGTGTAAATAACAACAAGGCAACGGCAGCCGCGCAGAAAGGCTGCGCAGCGACGGCGGCGGGAGGCGTCGTCGGTGCGCACGCAGCGGCGCCGCCTTTCCGTTGCGGCCATTGTAATCAGGTGTCTAACTGGAAGCATGTGATTCAGGTATACTAACCAGGCCTACTAACCGTACTAAACGTGTTTTTTGTTTGTTCTTGTGTTGCTTTCGTGTATTCGTCTCTCTTTTTTTTTGTTTCTATAATACGAATTTTAGTCAAAAAAATCGACTTTTTTCACTTTATGCTCTGAAAAAAAGTCATTGTCAAACTCCAATGCACAATAATTTTAACAGGTTTCGATTAATAATTTTGAATTTTTGTTAACGAGTTATAAAATTCATAAGAAAAACGAGAACTGCCTTAAAATAATCAAACTTCAAGCTTTAATAACTTTCCAATGGCGAGGTTAACAAAAAAATTGCTAGAGACCTTTTTTCTAGAGAATTCAATTTTCTACAAATATATGAGATGAAATAATTTTTCAAAACAGTAGATACCGAGGTATGAATTTTTCTTTCTAGTAATAAAGAAAAAATAGTAAAATGAAAGGCGGAGGACCTTCCTGTTAAAATTAAGAGCTCATACTTGGAAAGAATTTTTTTGGGGTGTCTACCAATCTTTTTTTCAGAGTATAAAGTGGAAAAAATAGTCAATTTTTTTGACCCACCCTAATAGGGATATTTTATAAACCATCTCCAACCTTTCAAAGCTTTATAAAAGATTACAATTGGGGATTGGAACCTTTCGTGTGATATGGAGGGTAAAGATATAAGGAGAACCATCCCTTATGGGATTTTGTGCACCACTTTTTTTAACATCAAAAATTAACTTGTTTTTATTTTTAACCTTTACAATATCTCTATTATAGATTCATAATTGTTTGTTTAGTTGCTTTGCTTTAGTAGTGTTAGTTCTGTATGTGTAGTTGAATGGGCATTGTAGATGTGTAGATTGTAGGGGTTTTAGATTGTTTTAGAAGTTAACAACCTTTTTAAATCCAACTGGCCACATAAAGAAGAGTACTGACCGAGGAATGACGTCTAGGGCTTGACCTTGCCAAAATTATCATTGATTATCATTTCACAGCCGTCTTAGACGCCGTTTTTTTCGATCGTATGGTACATTAGATGGTGGATTTATGACAGATATCAAATATTTTCGAGACGTCTTTGCGTTGCGTTCATAAAATTGTTCACTGGAACCGACTTTTTTCATTTCATTAAGACGTTTATCAGTCTTCTAATCTATTCCAGTCGATTCGTTTTAATCTTGTTTTCTTGCGAAAAACACTTGTGACAATGTAAATAGTATGAAATTTTAAAAGGAATTACCTATAATTTATTCGTTTCGTCGTTGATTATGCAACAATAGAGAGAAAAACACGTTCTTCGTATTATTCGCTATTATTTTAATACAAATAATTGTAATTGTCCAAGAAAATTACACTCCTCTACGACCATCTCACATCCCATTGTTATTTTCTATTATTCTTTTTATTTTCCTAACCATAAATGATATTTAACCTGTAGAATATGATACACTCTTAGTTAAAACACAAAAAATTACTATGGTATTAAAAAAAACTGCGTCAGAGATGGTTGAATCTTTGATCTTTCTAGATCGCAAGTCCTGAGAAATTTTTTCGAGTATCTTAAGGGGGCGTCCAGACCAGATGAGCGAGCAGTAACGAGCGCGAGCAAACATTTGTTCAAATTCGCTCGTGATTTCTGCTGCTCTCGAGCACATGATCAGCTTCCGTCCAGACCTAGCGATTATTTGTATGTTCGGCGTTGATCGGTGTGTGGCACTTCATGTTCATAATGTCGGAAAAAATTATTGCTCGTGCGTCTTTCATTGTATTTTATAAATTGTTGAAACGTCAAAAGAGAAAACGACTGCAGAGGAGATGGTGGAACATAACTCTTTTTAAAAATCGAGTTTCTCATGATGTTAACAATTTACTAAATGATTATTAGATCTAATTGACATAAAAATAATGAAAAGTTTTACCAATTACCGAAAAGCAATTTCACCTAGAGGAAGGCTAGCTATAACCTTACGGGTCTTGGCAATTTTTGTAGTCCTCTGTTAGTTCTAAAACAACTTCATTCGGCCATTCCATTTTTGATATTCGATCGCAAACGTGGTAAACAAAATTCCGTCCAAACCCAACGTGCAATAGCGCGAATTTTCTTTGATGTACCGACACGGCGTGGAACAGCGTCGAGCGCGAGCAAGCAATCATTCGCTCGCTCGCAGAGCCATCCACACCACTTAAGCGTTCCCATAGAACATACCCGAATTCTTGCTCGCTCATCCGGTCTGGACGCTCGTTTAGACCATTCCAGGTTACGGATGTAGTCTTCCAGGTTCTTGAGTTCTGCCTTAAGTTGGTTTCCACTTGGGAAGCATAACGGTTTTGGTCTTTGGGATAGAGCTAGTGGAATGGAGGAAGAAAGTTCGCAAATTTTTCATGGCTCATATTGAAAAATGTTTAGTTCATTCTCAATTAAATATGGAAATAATGTGGATTTTTGCAAATATTGTGAACCTATAACTTTCGATTCTTTCTCGTGATTTCTTCTTCTTCTATTAGCAAGGAGCTTATAATTATTTCTTGTTCGATCTCATTCATTGTCGAGAGATATTAAAAAACACGCAGACAGGACTCCGGAAGCGACTGATGAGAAATTCGATGGGCAAATACGGGTGTAGTAGGGACAAAAAGAAACAAAATTAGCGAATAATGCGGCGCGTCAGTGTGCGCGTACCTTAAAGCTGCGTCCACACTGCTCGCGAGCAAGTCGAACGAACACGCGAAACACGAAAAACATGGCAAACAGTCGGAGCGAAATGCTCGCGGTGCTCAACGTGTTTACTATCACATAAAATGCCTGTTTCGACTGTTCGGCTCTGTCGCGGTACATCAAAGAGACGCTTCGGAGCCATGCGAGCATACTTTACGGCGGTTTGAAGGGCTGGAGCTGTTTGCGTTGTTTGTTAAGTTTTTAGTTTGGTTTCATTAATAGGATTCGGTATTTAATGCAGTATGATGATACTACCATGATTTTTCTTATTTTATTTTGTTCAGAATTACAAATATTTGGAATAATATTGGATTGTATTTTGTTTTGTTCTTGGATTAATAATATTAACTATACCTTTAATAAAATATAACTCTATATTTATATTGCCTACTTATGTGTCTCTAGTTGCAAGGAATCTTAATGTTATGGCCAATCATTATTTAACTTTTTCTTTAACCGGAATACACTTCATAAAAGTTGTATTTTTTCTTTCAATACGGGGGCCAACTAAGTTAATATGTCTTTCAAAATCAGATGGGATAAAAATATTAAAAACATTCTGTTTGTTAATCGCGTAGATGTTTACTTTCACTGTGCTGGAATCTACTTTTGAAATTATTAGACATCCAACACCGCCTTTTTTCTCTATGTCTCCTTCGTTTTGCAATAGTGATCGCACTAGCAGCCGCTATTAAAAATATTTCGGTATCATTCATGTCCGAACAGCACGGACGTAAGCACTATATTACAATGTGGACGCCGTTGCTTGCGAGCCGGAAGATCTTGAGAAACACGACAAACAGGATGCGCAAGCAACGCAAGCACAATCAGAAGCAAGAGCGCGAACAATGTGGACGCACCTTAAAAATAACTTATTTTGAGATAGCGTAGATTTCTGTTTGATGGATGCAATTACTTCTATGTTCCTGATATGATTTTGGACGCATCTGTATACCATTTTATGGTATGGTCTGCAGTAGTTAAAAGTTGAGCAAACGTTTTTAAAAGTTAAAAAAGTTACTTGGCTAGAAACTAACCAAGATTTTAACCAAAGGTTGCAAGTGTCGACGTCTACTTATTGTTACGTAAATCGTACATAATGAGCGTAAAGAAAAACGTGCAAAATAAGAGAATTATAACGTCTTTGAGTTGGGAAAATAAAAGACCGTTTTGTTATTCCAACAATAATAAATGTATCTATTATGCCGTAGGTATTTGCGGTCAGTGTGAAAAGAATGAAGAGTTTATTTTTATATATTTTATATGTTCCTTGTAAAGTGCTGAACGAAATCAATTTTTATTGCCCAGAAGACCTTGAAATATGGTTTTGTTGCGAATAATTTCTTAATACCATATAGTACGAATCTTGATTTTTGTATTGTTATTCGATTATCAGTAAATTTTTATGTCCCTGTCAAACGCACAATGTTCAGAATTTTCAATTGCAATACTTTAACCAGAAATGTTGCTAAAATTTATCCAGTTATTTGTTGAATTTGTCGAAAATATATAGTATACCCCCCATAACTTTTTTATTTTTTTTTTCAGATAAAAAAACGAGATTTTTTATGTTAGTATATATAGGTCAAAAATCAGGATTGATTGACGTATTCAAATAGGCTCAGTGTCTCTTTCTGTTTCACCGGAAATGACTATAGATTTTTAAAAAGTACCCTCGATATTTTTTTTTACTTTATTCGATAGAAAATTATTTTTCGTATTTAGAAGACACCCTGTATACTTCGCCGGAAATACCATACGATAAAAAAATGGCGTCGGAGTGTCCTTTGAAATAACAATCGATGATAATCTTTGTCGGGATGAGCCCTTTACAGTAAAAATCCTAAGATCCTAAGTCAGTATACATTAATGTAGAAATCAGATTGTTATTGTATAGCCCTCTTTTAGATAATAAAAATATTCCTAATATTCCATTTGACCGGAAAAAAAAACGGCGTCGGAGATGGCTTGGAAATATTTTTTATGTTAGTATATAGGTCATAAATCAGGATTGATTGACGTATTCAAATAGGCTCAGTGCCTCTTTCTGTTTCACCGGAAATGACTATAGATTTTTAAAAAGTACCCTCGATATTTTTTTTTACTTTATTCGATAGAAAATTATTTTTCGTATTTAGAAGACACCCTGTATACTTCGCCAGAAATACCATATAAAAAATGGCGTCGGAGTGTCCTTTGAAATAACAATCGATGATAATCTTTGTCGGGATGAGCCCTTTACAGTAAAAATCCTAAGATCCTAAGTCAGTATACATTAATGTAGAAATCAGATTGTTATTGTATAGCCCTCTTTTAGATAATAAAAATATTCCTAATATTCCATTTGACCGAAAAAAAAACGGCGTCGGAGATGGCTTGGAAATTGGAAAAAATCAATTGATGTAAAATTATACGCGGAGTGTTAACTATGCTCAAATTCAAAGCTAGTTGGGCCCGTTATTTTTTCGATCATACGGTAGTTATATTTATACTATAACATTTTTGATGGTTTTTGTATATTATAGATACTGTTTTGGGTTGATTGGTAGATATATTTTTTTCATGTTAAGTTAGCTTTTGCTGCATGTAATTTGGCTTTTTTTGTTGATTAAATGGTTTAAACGTTTAGTTAATATATTTAAATTTACATTTATATGGTATAGTTAATATCCTAACAAAATATTTTGTAAATTTTGATTATATTTTTACTTTTCAGTTATGCAGTTATTGAGTATTTAAGTTTAACAAAGATTGTTTGAAGAATAGTTGATTAAAAAATCAACAATATGTCTCTTATATATCTATCTTTTACCACTAATAGATTTATGTTTAAGTTAAATAATTACAAAAGATTTATTTTAAAGTTTTAACATTCAGTAACCTTTTTAAAACTCTGCATTTTCGCGCCCATGTTTATAGGAACATTTTTTCATATTTTTTGATGAGGAATTGTTAATGATATTGAAATTTTTTAAAGGTTGTAGCAAATTAATAAAATTGCATCAAGGAGATCAAAATCGACAGAATATTAAAACAACTTTTAATTGGCATTAAAGAGTCTACACAATTTTGCTACCTAAAGAAAAAAGTCAGTGGCGTACATGTTTTTTTTTAGAAAAATATTACATTATGGGTGATAACCCATATGCACGTCCCTGGTGAATATATCGAATTTTTTAGCATTAAAATATGTCGCACTTATAGTAACTTTTATCCTCAAAATTTCATTTCAATCATTAAAAGCATTTGGAAGAAAAAGAATAACACTTTAATCCCCTGTAGATACGAAACAAAGCAGACTCGGATCTATGTTGACATATGAAAAATCTTATCTTTACGGGAGGAATCTCCCATGTTTTTGAAGCATCCTGTATAAGAATAGGTAGCTTTTTGAAATGTAATAATATGCTAGGGGATTATATTTTATATAGACGTAGACACAAATCTAATATTTTTTTAGTAAAAAATAGCAACCGCATGATATATGACAAAAAAGAGGTTATTTTAATAAAAATTATCTTTTTTATGTTACAGCGTCACTGCAGGCTGAAGCACAACGGCGACATAAGGGTAGTAAGTACTAAAAACGGACAGGAGAAGATCGAAATAGAAGAACAGCCCGACGAGCCTGACTGTTCTGACGTCCAGCAAGTCGGCCTCTTCAAGTGCAACATGTGCCCCTACGCCACTGACTCCCAGGAAGACTACCAGCTCCACCTCCCCGGCCACATCGTCGATTCCAACAAACCCCTCAAGTGCTACTTCTGCAAGTACTGGGTAACCGAAGAATATGACCTTGTAGGGCATCTAAAGCTTCACGGAGTCTGTGATCCTTATGATTTCGTTAAGTCTATGAATAGTAATGATGGAGATGGTAAAAGGTTTAGATGTGTCTATTGTCCTTATGTTACCAACACTAAAACTCAGTTTAACTATCACAAACAGTTCCACAAAGACCGTGGGGGACAGTACTCTTGCAGCAGATGCTCTTATAACGTCAGTAAAAGACATTTACTTCATCAGCACCTCAAAGTTCATGGTATGTCTCCCAACAAATCTGAAGAAATGGACGAAGATATCACCGACGAAATACCTTTGAATAAAGTCAAGATCAACTATCTAGAATCAGTAGATATTCCTCTAGTTTGGGTACTGAAAGACGGCAAATTTTCCAAGATGTACAACTGCAGGTTCTGTCCTCACGTCAATTCAAGAAAAGTAAACATACAAGAGCACGAAAAAATGCACAGTCCTAGAGAACAAGGCACCAATCCTTCCAGACCTAACGACATGGAACACAGATGCGTTGAATGCAACTATATCTGTAAAAACGCCGGAGTACTATCTTCTCACCTGAAAGTCCATCAAGGTTTGTATGGCACCATTCACTCTCTGGTAGATCTCAACAAAAGTGACGAAGAACAACTAAAAGAACTCTGCAAGGAACTAACCTCCTCTTCAGACGACATCGACACCTCAGAGTTCCTCCAAGTCGAAATGGAAGAAACTGAATCAGTTCTATACTTCTGCAAAGACTGTCCTGCCAGGTTCCTGAAAGAAACCGAACATATGATCCACGGAGACTTTCACACCTCCCACTTGGAGTTTGCCTGTGATTCTTGCAGTTACACTGCAGAAAACGCTTCTTATTTAATGTCCCACTCTAAAGTACACAGCGCGGAGTACCAGGAACGAACCGCCATGCTTAAGAAGCTTTATATCATTAGTAACGATCATCCTGAGCCTGAACTAAAACAGGTTAAGAAAGAGGACGGTCAAAGTGTGTGGGTTGTTCACCGGAAAAGTGAAATTGAGAAGAAAAACAATATCCTAGCTTCGTTTTTGAGTAAACCTTTGAAAACCAGCCAGAATATTCCGTTGTCTGGCACAGAACTGTTCCAACAACGTTCTGAAGCCAGGCAGAAACAAGCTTTGGAGGAAATCAAGCAAGAAATAATTGAAGAAGATATGGAAGAAGTTGTGAGTTCTTCAAAGACCCCTGAAGCTAGGGAGTTTGATGTTTCTGTGCAGGGTAATCCTGAATTCGTTTATCAGAAGTACATTAAAAATGGACGAATGAAGGAGAAGAGGTACAAGTGCCATAAGTGTCCGAGTGCTTTCGAGAAGAGAGAGCAGTACAAGATACATCTGGGATTGCATGGTTCAAAGCAGCGCTACAACTGCGAGTACTGCGACTATTCTGTCAAGTACTATGCAAACTACGTGCAGCATTTGAAAAAGCACAAGTTCGACGAAGATGCACATGCTGCCATGAAGAAAACCGATGAAGCTAATGAAAGAAACAACGATGTGATAGAGAGCATGGAGGTAGCTTTCAACGCTACCGAAGTTTGTGATGATGGCGTGGTTCTCAAAACGAGTGTAGCCGATCAGCAGATGCTTAATATAACCCAACAGCGTAAATCTAACTCCACATCACCTCTAGATGACAAGAAAACATACTTTTGCCCTTACTGTCCCTACGTTAACTCTAGAAGGGATGCTCTGGATAACCACTTGAAGAGGCACAAGTGTGTTTCGGGTGTGAGGAGTGTCTACGCTTGCGAACATTGTGATTATTCGGTGCCACAGGCGCACTTTCTCAGAGAGCACGCCAAAATTCATTTTGTACCAAATAGAACGGGCCAGGTGGATGGCTACGTTAAATGTGATAATGTAAAGTTAACCTCCAGTAATTTAACGGCCAGTAGCGATAACTGTGAGGAGGAGTACGTTATTTTCGATGAAAAGAACGAATGTTCTTCGGAAGAGAAGTTTAATAATAACAAAGGAGAAACGGAGTTACCGATCGTACAAACTGGGGACTTAATAAAAGTTAAAGAAGAGTGTTAAATTAGATAGTAATTCTGTATTTTTTAGGCAACCCGTTATATACGATAAAAATCGGCGCTTAGTTTAAAAAATTCAGTTTTCATTTTTTAAATTTGTTGTTTGTGCCTCTGAAAATGCAGGATTACTTACTTTGCTTACCTACTAAAAACACTAAAATAAAACTTAGTCAGAAATGCTAGTGATTGTAATTTATACCCAAATAATAATAATTAAAAAAAGAGTAACTTAACTACCTATTATAAAATAAATATATTATATTTAACATTAATGCCTTAGTCATATAGGATATAGAGTATTTTTACAAAGTATTTTCACAAAAAACGTAGGGCTAGCAGAAGTACGTAGTATTACCACGCAACACTATAATATATATGTTTGTAAATACTTATTAAATATTGTTCTTATTATTACTGTCAGTTTTTAAAGTATTAATTTTTGTTTCTTTCGTGGGGTTTAATGCCAAAGCATTTAATGCCAAAATTTGCCATAATTTGTTGTTTATTGTTTACAGAGAGAAAATATATGAATTATAAAAAAAACTCTTGTTTTATTTTACATATACACTCATTTTTTTTTTATAAAACTATCAAGTATAGTCTGTAAAACGAATAACTTTGAATTTGACAGTTCCCGCGGGCTTTTCTAGTGTTAATTTTATTAGGTTAGCAACTTGCGAGCCATGCTGCTGCAATACCGTCTTTAATAGAACAGCCTCGGAGCGAGATTTCTGACGTCACGCTAGTTAGATACTACAGATTCATTATGTTGTAGAATACATGGAAAACAATTATTCCTCGTATATATAATTTTTGGGATTATATTCGACACTATTTTTCTCATATGACACAACACTGATGAAGGCTACAAACGTTAGCTATAACGTTTTTTTTTAAACCAAAAAAAAATAATGAAAAACCAAATGAAAACTTAATCAGCGTTTTTCCCGAACCTAAATCCCAAGAAAATAAAATAATTTAGAATAATTTTACATATAAAATGAGTTTATTTTGAGTTTATAATCATCTGCTGATGATGCTAACATGATTAGCGAAACGCGCGTCCAGTGTAAAAGTGTTTTGGTGTATTGTGGTGATTTAGTGTTTTTATTTTGCTGTGTAACACCAAAGGTTCCAACCCTCAACTGTAATATAAAATGACAGCGATCTTCATTTCATAGCCATCGCTGACGCCTTTTTTTCTATGATATTGAATTATTTGCAAATAAAATTTTTCGAACATTGATGCTTACAAAATATACATATAAATTTTGTGAATGCAAATTAATAATACATCACTATTAGTAGATATTGAATGTTTTTTGTTAAATTAGATCGATTTTCAAACCCCAAAATTTAAACATTTTACCCATTATCTTATGTACCTATTCATTATTTGTATATTGTAAAACATTTGATGCATTTGTATGGTTCATAGTTTATTTGCCAAAGTATTTATTACTATAAATAGGTATATATATTGTATTTATTAACTGTATATTATGTATAATTCATCTAAACTATATCATTTTTAAAATACAAACCAAAAATACGAGGAATAATTATGTTTTCCGTGTATTCTACAACATATTTATTAATCCGTGGTATCTAACTAGCGTGACGTCATAAATCTCGCTCCAAGGCTGTTCTATTAGAGACGGCATTGGTCTGATGACATTTTACTTTTGTCAATTATGACATTTCGCGTTGATTTTTGCAAGAAGAGGAAGAACTGTCACTTGTTTTATTATTTTTCTTTTCTATTTCACTGTGTATTTCACGAAAGTAAAAAGAGTTACCTATCTGATTCGTTCAGGCACTCATTTTAAAGAATATCAGTAACTTTTTGGATAGAGGGCTTTTATATTTGCCATGTTGGTAAAAAATAACGGTCAAAATTCAAAGTTATTCATTTTATAGACTATATTATTGATTACCCAGGATAAGATTATTTTCTTTATTTCGTACTGAATTAATACAATATTTTGGAAAAAAAACGGCGTTAGCGATGGCTATGAAATGAAGATCTCTGTCATTTTATATGTAAAAATTATATGAGGAAAATATTCATTTCCAAATCAACTGGACGCCGTTTTTTTTTCGATCCATAAAATATAATAATGGTTTTGAGTAATTAGCTATTTTTAGAGTTAACAAATAGTATTGTTATATTATATGTTATTAAAAGTATCCCATTAAATAAAATGCTGTAATATATTACAACGTTTTTCGTCTACACACAAAATTTTTTTTACTAGAACGTTTTGACTGAACAGATAAGACTGACAGGCTAAACTTTACGTGTAGACCAGAGCTTTAGAAAGAAAACAAATTGAAAATTTTCTGTCATTATATTTAAAATAAAATAAATTACATCAAATAAAATGTATAACATATATACTATCGTCAGTACATTAAAAAAATTAAATTAAAATTCATAAAAATACTACCTTTTCCCTAGACAACTTTCATCTTGTAATATAACAGACATCAGCTGTTTATCTTTCAGTGCTTCCGCTACTTCAGTCTCGTTCCATTCCAAATTCACTTTATGCATTCTCGGTTCTTTTCTACCGCTAACTTTTATAATACCTTTGGTTTCGATTAGAGAACATAGACTAAAAAACTCAGCTTGATCGACAGCCATCAAATTCTGCTTTGAACAAACTCTCGAGTACACTTCGTGTAATTTACCCACAGTTATGTCTTTGTTTTTTGCTTTTTTCAGCATTAAAAGCAAAGAACAGATCACTATTTTTTGTTGTAAAGGGAAATGTTTCTTCACTGTCATCATTAAGATTCTGTGTTGTACCATAAACATTATTCAAAACACTAACAACCTCCTTTAAGTTCACAGATTTTGTTTTAGTCTCTTCCATAATTTTTTTATCTTCCTTCACCAAATTATCAGTAAAATTCTCAACAGACTTCAACACATCTCCACTTTCTTTTTGATCTAACAATTCAACAACCCTTCTTCTATATCCAGAGCTCTTCTAACATCTCCAGAAACTGAAGCAACCTTAGCTGCAAGCATCTGAAGAGCAATTGGAGTAAAGACACTCAAGACACCAGCTGCTTCGAGTCTGGAAGTAAATATTTTGATTATCTGCTCTTTGGTATATGGTGCAAAATGTAACAATTCTGGTTTCAATTCACAGCGTGCTTGAAGTCTTGGTAAAGTACGATCTGTTAGATCTAAAGCATTGGCAATACCGATAAGAATAAGCTTCGAATTGGGTTTGGAAGGCCACTCAAAGATAGTGTATAGAATTGAGTGATTCTTTGTTTCGAGTTGATCAATTTCATCAAGAACTAGTAGCCTAAAATTAAAATATTTTATAATAAGTATTGTTTACAAATATTTTAGAAACTTTACACTGTCTTATGTTTCTTCTGCAAATATTTTTCGACAGCACACAAATTTTCTTTTTCTGATTTTCCTACTGATTTCAAATTTAATTCTTTGGCTAGTCTTGAATAAACAGCTGTGGCTGATTTAATGGCAGTACAATTAATATAAATCTTCTGAACTTTTAAAGCAATCTAAAAATAATAACTTTGTTTAGATGTGGACAACGTTGCAGGCAAAAACTAGTATTTAAAAAAACTACACTTATTTTACCTCAGTTTGTTGCAATATCAGATTTAAAGATGCAGTCTTTCCAGTACCAGGGGGCCCACTAATATACACAGACCCTGAAGTGCCATTATTTAAATGATCGAAAATGAAATCAGTCAGTTTCTGTATTTCATTTTCACGTCCTGGCAAATCCGTTGGGAAATTACTGTTAAGTGCCTTTCTAGCACTCTGGTAATGATTTAATTTCTTGCAATTCTCAGCCTCGGATGAATCTGAGCTGCTACCATCTTTAATATCTTCTGAAACGTTAGTTCTTTGGGGTTTCTTTGTTGTCTTTGCATCAACAGTGTCTTGAACACTATTCTTGAATAAAGAAGCCCTTACTTTTGCTCTCGTAGACTTCTTAGGGCTTATTAACGAGAGCTTCCTTAGTAAACTACTGGGGGTAACTGTTCCGTCTATGGCACTACCTTTTTTCTGTTTTGGTGGAGTTACAGGGCTTAGAAGATGAAGTTCCGTGTTTCTGGCTTTTGTCTTTTGGTTTCTGGTAGTACTACGAGACTTACTCGATTTCTCTGATACATTTTCATCGTCATTTTCACTGTCTGAACTCATCAATACGTGTGAGTTTTCATCTTCCTTATTTTCTGAAATTTTCCTTGAGGATCTTGTAACTCTTACCATATTTTATAAAGTAGCGTAATAGAATTAGTTTGTGGACGGTTAAAAAGCTATTTAATTAGTTATAATACTAATATAAAATCAATTAATAAAATAGACAAAAAGTAAAATAACCTCAGTTCAAAATTAAAAACAAACCCCCACTCATAAGCTGAGTTGTCATGTTTCTTAAAAACTTTAGGGGTATTAAAAATAAGAATATCATTTTTATCGCATTTTAAACATTATTTTAAGTAAATTTAAGTGCATACTCGTACTCATAATTTACTCTCCAAGTTTAAAGTAGTATTATTCCAATCCGGTAAATAAAAGACCATAAAATTAAAATAAAAGGTATATATGTCTAATGAATTTTGGGACTATCTGGCAACATAAGATCTGATGTGGCAGCTACAGGTGTCAAAATTCGCGCTCTTTTTTCATGCAAGAAATACAATATTTATTTAATTCTCAATAAAACTAGAGAAGTATAAGTGGTATAAATCTTTAGTCCTATACAAGATAAAATAAATTTTAAGTCCAAAAACCCAAAATTATCAATATAATTAAATTAAAATTAAAAAATATTTCTTAAAGCGCCCTCTTGCGGAATTTCGTAAAACACTTCTCGAACAAGTGTCATTTTGACTTTTGACAGATGCCAGATATTGTCAAAATTTCTCCATTTTTTGTTCTTTCAGAATGATCCATTGAGAAAGACGCATCGAATTCAGTTTTTATAACAGAAATCCTCAAAGTTTTCCCATTTTTGGGAGCTTAAAATAATTCAAATATGAGAGCAAAGGTAAGTGTTTTTAATATTTTTAAAGGAAAGCGTAATTTTTTCGAAATATCTAGATTTTTTCATCAAAATATTTGTGTTCCTAAAACCTTTCTTTTCACTGCCATTTTCATGTCTAGTGTACTAAAATAGCATGATATACATAGAGAATAGTTAAATTAAGCTCAAATGATAGTTCCAAAGCTTTTATTCAATGTTTTATACTAAATATTTTATTATAACCTCACAATTTCCATGCTATTTTGGTATGTTAAATTTCGATATTTTATTGAATATATTACTTATTTTTTATTACTTTTTAGTGGCGTAAGAAGCGTATGCGAAGGCTAAAGCGTAAGCGCAGGAAGATGCGTGCGAGATCCAAGTAAACTGCATTTACTGGTGAGTAAACTAAATTTTTATTATATTTTATACATTTATAGTCAGTAGCATTGTTCCAATCCTCTGCCACAAAATATAACATACCCACTATAATAATAACTATCTCTGCACGTAATCACAACATTATTAATGTTGGAATTGTATCTGTAGTTTATATTGTAACATATTTTTATAATTGGTTCACCCTGAGCTTCTTTCATTAACTTTTCACAAAACTACTGTTGCAAAGTATCGAAGCACAGGGAAAATTAAGCTGTAGCTCCACCCGTCAAGTTCTTTTCAATAACTTAGATGGTCTAAGACTACAAAACAAGTTTTTATCATTAAAATAAGATTTTTGTAAGTATTCCTTCAAAGATACTAATTATTTTTGTTTTGTTCTAGGGAATCTACATCAGCTGATTTTATATACATTGGACGGTGTAATTTTCATTTAAGAAAAACTGAAAAACCCATTTAAGTGTCTTGTGAATATTTAGATGGTCAAAAAAAATGGATAAAATTTGAATTGTTGTTTTATTTACTGTGTACCTTTCCTCAGAATATATACTAAGACCCAAATACTATTTAAATTTGATTTTTAGTAGTTATATTATGTTTTTACTGTATCACAGAACAGGCTTTCTGTTTAGCATAGTCCAGGCGAAAAACAAGCGCCATTTTACATGAGTACTGGACGGCTGGTGGTTATCAGGTTCTTTCCATATATTCTAGTTTTACTAGACATATCAGGATTTAACAACTTAAGAAATTGGCGCTTATCAAGTTTTTCTCTTGGATCCTTTATATTATTCATTATTCCCTTAAGTGTGTTCAAAAGTTTCACTAATGTTTCAAAAAATGTCACAATTTTATAAGGATTCTACAGTGTTTTTATTCACTTAAAAATATATTTAACAATACTTACCCTTGCTAGGAACCATGATAAACAAAGAAAATACAGTTATAGTTTGTAAAATCAATGTATATTTACATTATTTCGACTCCAACCTCTGCTTTTTCCTAAACAAATAGTCTTCAATATTATTGTGCTTCTTTTTGTAAAATAAAGTACTACAATTCGTGCTATGATTCAGTAAATCTTTATACCTTGATATAGTTTCATCTAATAATTTACATGCCACCAAATCAACATCATTATTGTTAAAGTTATATCCTGTAACTTTATCTGTTATGATATATAATCGGCTGCTCAAGAAAAAGCTGAAATTTTCTTTTTCCACTTCTATATGATTGACGTAACTGCATTTCAAATTTTCTGAATTTAACTTGTATAAATATATTTTTGGAATTTTATATAATGATATGGCTAGTATAACATTATTATCGTTTTCCTGAACTTGCATGTTACATACTGGCAATCTTGAAATATCAATTTCTTCTTCTTTATGTAATTCATTTACAATTTTCTTCAAAATGGATTCTTCTACACGATCATTGCAATCTAACATATTTAACTGCTTCCCTTCTAAGTAATTCCACATTCGAACAGTTCCATCTCCTGATGCGGACAGCAATACATTATTTTTTAATAGATGAAGCTGAGTTACAAACTCCTTATGCCCTAAACAAAACATTGCAATATTGTAAGAATTTGGATAGTGTGAAACACGTATTTTTTCATCTCTATCACATGTAATAATGTACTTTCCACAGGGAGATATTATCATATCTATTATTATGCTTAAGTGTCCTAGTAATAAAACAGGTTTTTCATTGTCAATGTTTACGTTATAAGCCCATACATCTCCATTTTTGTCAGCAACTAGAAGTTCATTATTCGGAGCAAAGCAGATTTTATTTGCAACTTTTGGTAATTTTATGTTTCTTATAGGTTTAAAAACTTTATTGTATACAATAAGTTGTTTGTTTTGTGTTGTAATTGCTGTATATTCACTGTCTTTGGAAGAAGTAATACAAGTAATATTTTTGCCATTATTCTCCTGAAATAATGTAGGTTATTAATTAAATATAGTAATCTTTTCAAGTAAAATTAGTTGTACCTTTACACTTTCCTTCGGTAACTCTGGTTCAGGTATTTCTAATTCTTCATGTTCATTTGAAGAATGGAATACAAGTAATTTCCTAGAAAAGGCACACCACAACAAGTTATTTTCATATAAAATTACCATTGTTTATGATTTCGTTGAAGGCATGGAGAAAACTTAAACACAAGGTGGTAACGAAATATCTTAAGTCTGGTTCTAAAATATTCTTGTTCTGCTTTTTGGGATTTTAAAGTACAATAAGCAATAAAATAATAAATAAAGTATGGAAAATTCAAAATTCTACAAATAAAATACTTGGTAGTGTATCTTTGGTTGCCTAACGCAATATGTCATTACCTCGGTGTCAAATGTCAAATTGACTCTGTCGCCTGTCAAACTCTGTGATGATTCTTCAAAAATTTGAAGTTTTCTCTGGTAGTGTTTAAAAAATTGTTTAATACAGTTTTAAAAATAGTTATTATTGAAAAAGTCATCTGAAACAATGAATATCACATCTGCAGGTAAGTCTCTTTAAGTGGATTAATTTGAGAAATCTTTTTTATACCCCTACGTTTGTATTTTCTTTGTGTATTTGTTTGAAAGTCTTCTTCAGTCACCTATTTTTGAGTTATATTAATTAGTTTTCCTTGTATATATTGTTAGAAATACTAAGCACTTTTCTTTTTTCCCTTTTGTTCAACCAAATTCAAGTTTTTAATTGTATTTATAGGACGTATTGTATTGTATTTTAGTTGAAAGACATAACCTTAAAAAACAAAATGAATATGATTTTTTTGTTGTTCTAGCGGGTATTATATCCCTTCTGGAGGAGCCCAGGCCTGAATTAAAGGTTTTCGCACTGAGAAAATTAGATACTATCGTTGACGAGTTTTGGCCAGAAATTTCTGAAGCTATTGAAAAAATGTAAGTCATGTTTTTTTGGTTTAAAATTTTTTTGATCAGGTAGGCTTTGGCTTTGACAGTATTGTTTTTCTTTGTTTTTCTGGTTTTTTTTATTGAAAGCATAGATAAATGAAACAAGTTCAAACTTGATTACAAAGCGCGTCTTTTCGCTCACATTGTGTTATAATTCTAGAAAATTCTGTTTTTTCTAGAGAAATATTACATGAAGATAAGGTTTTCCAGCAACATCAACTGGCTGCTCTTGTAGCCAGTAAAGTTTATTATCATTTAGGTGCTTTTGAGGATTCTTTAACTTATGCTCTTGGAGCTGGTGATTTGTTTGATGTTAATGCAAGAAATGAATATGTCGAAACCACAATTTGTAAGTCTGATAATTTTAGTTCTATCCCAGTAGCCTTTAATATACTGTTCTAGCTAAATGCATTGATCATTACACACAACAAAGAATTGCTCTGGCTGATGGAACAGCAGGGGCTAAACCAATTGATCCCAGACTCGAAGCCATTGTCAACAAAATGTTTCAGAGGTGTTTAGACGATGGCCAGTACAGACAAGCCATGGGTCTGGCTTTGGAAACCCGCAGAATGGATATATTTGAAGCCTCAATTACTCAGTCCGATGACAATATCAGTATGCTCAGTTATGCTTTTCAGGTTGCGATGAGTTTGATTCAAAACAGAGGCTTTAGAAACTTGGTTCTACAGTCTTTGGTCGGTTTATACAGGGGATTACCCACACCAGACTACGTTAATATGTGCCAGTGCTTGATTTTCCTGGAAGATCCCTTGTCAGTGGCTCACATCTTGGAGAAACTGGTTAAGGGTGAGGAAGAAAGTCAATTAATGGCCTACCAAATAGCGTTTGACTTGTACGAGTCGGCGACTCAACAGTTTTTGGAACTGGCGATTGGAGCTCTAAGGTTAACGGCGCCTATTCCGAGTTTACTTGAACCCAAACCACCAAAGACTAGTACAGAAGAACCCGCTACAGAGAATGCACCGAGTGAAAGTGAAGTCAAGCCAGCCGAAGTCAAACCGGAGGTGGTGGAAAAAACGTTGGACAGTTTGGTAAGTTTTTCTGATCTGTTACTGTAATTATTTCTCTTTTAAAATCTTGGAAATTGTCAGAAATTACTGTGATATATAGGGTGTTTAAAAAAAGGTGCCATCTCTTAAATATAAGATTTATTTTTTATCTCAACATTTGTATATTCTGCTTTGTTCCCTACACTATAAAAAAGAAAATATAAAATTACGACTATTATAATCCTGGGTCCATTTGTGACCCAGGATTATCATGGTAATTTTACATAGCTTCAATTTTCTGTTTAAATTTTCACAAACTTCTGTATCAAGTATTAATTAAAAATGTGGAATATGTTACATAAAATTATGAAATAAATTGCATATTAATTGGTAATAATTTATTATTATTATATATATTTATTGGCAATACCATTACATAATATGATTATGTAAAATCTCAGAATTGTGTGTAAAATCACATATTATTTTTGACTATTACATATTATTATATAATTTTGATAAATTACTTGTAATATTTTATAAATTTTTATAATTATATTACTTTTTGTTGTGTAAAAATTCATATCTTTGTGTAAAATTACAAATTACTCGCAAATATTCCATATAATTGTGTAATTTTAATAATTTATTGGTTATATTTTATAAATTCTAGTAATTTTACTTCATTAGTCAAGGTGTTTTTACTTTTTTATTGAAAAATAAATATTTATGTAATATTTCATGACAAATCAATTTATTTTTACATTAATTTTCCATGCATTTTTTACAGTGCAGAATAAAAAATCTTTTTTTTTGTAATTATCTTAAATACCATTATTTTTTTCACTTTGTTGTAGGTAGAACTGAATATCAGTGTTACATTTTTTTTATTAAATTTAATAATAAATTAGGTTATTTTTTATTGAATTATTAATTATTGATTATTTTAGAGCGACAGTGATAAAGAACACCAACAAAGGATAGAAAAACTACACACAATCCTATCAGGAGAAGTTTCCATAGAATTGCACCTTCAATTTTTGATCAGATCCAACCATGCCGATCTTCTAATTTTGAAACAAACTAAAGAAACTGTAAGGGTGAGCATATGTCACACAGCTACCGTCATAGCCAACGCTTTTATGCACAGCGGAACGACCAGCGATCAATTTTTAAGGTATGAAAAAACGGCGTCAAAGGTTACGGCGACGCCGTTTTTTTTTCGTGCGAAGTCTAAGTATTTTTTTTCTATTTTCATAAAACAGGGATAATTTAGAATGGTTGGCCAGGGCAACAAATTGGGCTAAATTGACTGCTACGGCTTCGTTGGGTGTCATACACAGGGGTCATGAAAACGAAGCCCTGATTCTTATGCAGAGTTACCTGCCTAAGGAAGTGGGTCCCAGTTCGGGTTACTCTGAAGGGGGTGGATTGTATGCTTTGGGACTGATTCATGCTAATCATGGGGCGAATATCATAGATTACTTGCTGGGACAGCTGAAGGATGCTCAAAATGAGGTAAGTTTTGATTTGGAGTAGTTCTTTTGGAAGTATGTACTGATTTGAGAGGAAAACTTTAATAAGATTTTTCTTGTATTTTTAAAATATCGTACGAAAAAAAACGGCGTCAAAGACGGCTGGGAGTGACGACCGATAGTAATTTTGGCGAGGTCAAGCCCTGGACGTCATTTACTTGACCCGACTCTTCTTTTTTTAATGGCGTTTACTGTCTTAATGAGGTTGTAATTTATTTCTATATTGAGTAAAAATGATTTTTATAAGGGTTAGTCTAAAGATTGAGAAAAAAATACTTTGCCTCAAATTTTCTATGACGCCGTTTTTTTTTTCGATCGTACGGTATAAGGATTTCTAGGATTTTTCGAACAAACTAATTTTAAATTTAGATGGAAGTAGTTTTTCAATATTTGGATTATTTAGGTAATAAATACCGTATGATCGAAAAAAAACGGCGTCCAGTTGGCTGGGAAATGACGATCGATGACATTTCCCATATAAATTTACATATAAAATGACAGCGATCTTCATTTCATAGCCATCGTTGACGCCGTTTTTTCTCGATCATACGGTACTAGGACTTTACAATATTATATTGTATACATACAATATTGTACCGTATGATCGAAGAAAAACGGCGTCAGCGATGGCTATGAAATGAAGATCGCTGTCATTTTATATGTAAAATTGTATGGGAAATGTCATAGATTGTCATTTCCAAGCCAACTGGACGCCGTTTTTTTTCGATCATACGGTATATTGCATACAGGGTCGCTGTTACGTATGGAAACGGCCGATTATTAGGTAAAGTATACAAGGTACCGCAAAAAGTTAAATACAAAAATTATAGGTTTTTTAAATGTCTATTGGGCGAGTAATAAATTTCTGTATACAGGGTCGCTCATAAAGTCTTGTACATCAAAATTTCATTTTTTTAAATAGACACCCTGTACATTGTACCTGAAAAACACAATGTACCTCGACTGTTGAAAATATCGATATGTTCAGTTTCATTTAATGATGCCATTCTGCCGAAACTTTGATACTGTTCTAATGGGGTTTTAAATGCTTATTAGCTAAATTTAATTATACAGGACCGGTCATAAAGTTGTGGCACATCAAACTTTATTTTTTTTTAATGAAATCCCCTGTATATTATTGCATATTTCAATTCTTCCTTCAATTTTAAGCAATAATCGTAATACACACTGTATATAAATTGAGGAATTGCAATATTAAACGAAAATTTTGTAATTTCCAGACTTGATATAATCTTATTTTATACATCTACAGGGTTGGTCACCACATACGACACGGAGTATTGTAGCTAAATGATTAGATTTTTACAAATTGTAAGTTTTGGGTTCGTTGAAGGACTATTAGAGCTACAATTTAAAAATATTTTTACAAGATACAGAGTACAGTCCCAAATAAATAAAAAATATCAATGTTGCATTTTTTTAAATGGAACACCCTGTATATTATTACATTTTTAGTTTCTACGATTAAAATAAAGGTAAATTTGATTAAGGTTTATTATACTTAAACCTTACCGTTTTTGAAATATTTTCAATTTTGTGAAATTGCAGTAAAATTTTTAAAGCTTCATTTCTCCAAGGGTATCAAAGTTTTTAATACTAAATATTTACTGAAGTTTATTTACTGATCAGTTATTGTGTTGCAATAATAAAAATAATACTACCTTATACAGAGTGTCTAAAAATTTATTTTAAATAATTATTAGCTTCAAACGACAATAACTTGTTTAATTTAAATGGAACACCCTGTATATTTTACGAGAATCAGATGCACAATTTAATTGACTAATCAAATTATATTATACCATTTTTTACCTATCTCTTTAAGTTTCCGTAGAAATTGCATTTTCTTGTAATTTAGAACTTATTTATCAATATACCCATGGACTATTGACATTTTAGATTATTTTTAAAGATGTACCAAATTTTTAAAGAGTACAGATACTAATATTGTCGATATAATTCGTTGATTTCATTAAAAAATAAAAAAAAACTGTTTAAATATTTGTTAAAGAGGATCAATTAATATGATTCCAGTATTCAAACTACATTAACTGACTGTTTGCGTTGATTAATAATAATTGCTCCAAATACTAAAAAACTGAATTTTGTATGGGCATTAGACAGTGTGATAAAACGAATGCCTCAAGCTTCTCCATTTCGGCCTTTTTAAGTGTCCAAGCCTCTGAACCATAGAGTAGAGTTGCAAATATGTAACCCTTTAGCATTCTTAATCTAAGCTTTAAGTTGATGTCTCCACTGCAGAGACATTTTTTGAGTTTTACAAAGGCTGCTCTGGCTATTTCTATTCGAGCTTTTATTTCTGTTGATTGATCCAAGTTTTCGGTCAACCAACTGCCTAGATATTTATATTTTTGTACTCTCTCCATAGGTGTATATCATCTATTAGAACATTGGCTTGGACATAACTCGAATTGGCGAAACGTAACTCGTAACTGTGAACTGCAAAAGCCATCGTGGATCGTGGCATAACTTCGGTTTCCAATGTTTCATAGGCATTTCGTACATGACCTTTGATAAAATAAAGTTTCTTATATGCAACATACTGTATTTAATTAAAAAAATTAAAAGAAAATAAACTTAAAAGAAAATGAAACTTGTTTCTTTTATCTATGTGGTATTTATAGAATTTTAATTAAGGTCCTAGTTTTTGCTGTTTTAAAATATTAATGAAACACAAAAAAGAAGCAGCAAAAAATATGACGTTAATAAAAATTAAAATACGCATCTATCAGGGAATGAAAATAAAAAGGAAAAAATTCAACTATGTTTTCATATATTTTTTATTTTTCTCTAAAATGGTATGGAAATTTGGAAAAGTGTATACGGGATTAACCATTTTAGAACCTGCAAAAACTATTATAAAGAATGCATTTTTCTTAAAAAATTAATAATAAAAAAGTTTTTTCCTCCTGTAAAGACAATTCGGGGACATAGTGTAGAGTTCATTTCACTTGAAGTGACCAGACGGTCTGTTTTTGTTGCAATCTGAGTTTATAGTAAGACAATAAAAAAACTGGAGAAATTTAGCCACTTTAGGAGAAAAAAATGTCCTCTTAAAAAATACATGCCCCACGTTGGGCGCTAAATTATAAATCTTCAAATATCTTCGGAAGTATTCGGAATATTTTAATTTTCAAAACGGCTTTTTATTGGTCATAAAATTACTCGACTTTGCCGTAATTTCTCCTTCTCCGTATCTCTTATGACTTCAAAAGTTCCACTGGTCACCGTTGAATTTAAGAGACCCTGTGGAAATAAATCGGCTTTTGGAAATTTAATCGCGAAAAGCGATATATTCGACAGGAATTGGCGCGATATAGAGCCACCCAGAGCCGTAAAGTCACCCTGTCTGCACTATTTTTAGCGCCACACTGTTTCGACTCCATATAAAAGCTGTAATAGCTGTATAGAGCTGCCGAAGCTAGGGCTTTATCCGTTTTCGGTAATCCCCCCTTTAAAAAAAGGGCCAGACGTTCGTTGTACTTTTCGCATTGTTTCGGCGGGATTAGAAAAAGGGCGGTTTTCGATCGAAGGGCTTAGAACAATCGCGCGAAAAACTAACCGATAAATAAAATTAACTGGAATCGGTTTGTTTTGGAGGTTTCTATTTGACAGTGTTGTTGAATGATTGGACATCGTTTTACCGATAAAAGAATATTATTTTTGTTGTATTTTTGCGTTTATATAGCGTGTTCCCGGATTGTCTTTACACTCTTCTGTACATAGTAGAACTGCTTTAGAGTATTTGAGTAGGTGATATTACTTTGGAACATTAGGATATTGTATATCGTTATTTTTAATGATATTCCATCCAGATAAGGGCCATAACTTATTTATAGAATTTTAAGTGTACAAGAAAAAAAAGTTTAAAACTCGAATCCCCCTCAAAATTGCTTTTTTATCGATATTTTCGAATTTGAAAATCCCTATCAGGTTTTTCTTTTCACGCTTCTACATCTCGAAACTTTTCTTCTCCCCTTGGACTGGAGGCCCGTGGAAAATCGTTGAAAATCGTCCCCATATGCGATTTGGAGGAAAATTCGCAAAAATAAAATCTGCGGGATTTGTGTCGTGTCAAAGGACGAACCTGTGCTGAAAAAGAAAACTAATTTCTTTGACGGTTTCGAAAGTTTTCAAGCTGTACATGTGTCCTCGCAAAGTTTGGAAAGTTTAGAACGTTTTTTTTAAAATCTTTTTTTGGTGGATTTATTTATGGCCATGTGGTCCAAGATCCAAGGGCCGCCAAACCGTACTATTATTACATTATCCCATATGGTAGTCATTTGAGCGACAAGCGATGGCGACAGCGCTGCCAGATTGTGATGGATTTATGAGATGAATCTTAATTTAAAATTGACAAACAATATATTTATTATATCATTTTTTTTAAAGAGTTTTACGTTTAATTTTTAATTTAATAACTAATATTTTAGTAATTAATTTTATTGGTTGAATTTAAAGACTTCGATTGGCAAGAAACGGTTAACCAATCGAAATCTTTAAATTCAACCAATAAAATTAATATCGTATCATCGTATCGTCGGACAACGGATGCATGAAAATCAAGCTTAAGAGGGTGCTATTAATGCACAAACTAATAATCACAGAATTTAATAAAAAATAACTTTGACAGTGGTATAATGTGCTTATCAATGAAACTTACTTCTCTGACTGCAGTCAAGGGTAATAATTGGGACCTTTATTGTCACGTTCTCGTTCAAATTGTTAATTATGGAATCTACAAGCTCTTTGCTTCGACTGTTTAAACACTTCGGCATATTTTCAACACACAATTTCAAGAAATGCCGTACAAAAACTCGAAAATTTAGTTCTTAAAAGAACTGTTTGTGCTTAAAAGTGCAATTTAAAAAAAAACTACGAAAATAGACATAAAACGATAATTACTCACAAAGATTCAACAACAACACGACATTAGAATAATTGTCAAATAATAAACGACAACCTTGCTGAAAACGGAGCAATGTGACCAAAATAGCGATAATAAAATTCGGTTTAAACTAATTTTTGCAGCTTTAATCTAAATAAAATATCTGTTATAATCATTTGCTCTATAAAGTGAAATGAAGAGCTTGTCGGTATCTTAAATTATACAACAAATTTAAACATTTTTGCCAAAATTTCATTTAGTCAGGTTTATAGACTTTAATGTCAATGTCGATATGATTGATGACGTGCTTCGGAAAATGTTTTGCGATTACAATAGATTTTATTTGTGAGAAAACAAGTAAGGTCTGGCGGCTCTGGGATCTTGCCCTAAATGCATTTAATTTACCTTGATTTTTTTTTCAGTATGCCCAAGAAAGCCAGCACGAAAAAATCCTCCGTGGATTGGCTGTGGGCATTTCATTTAACATGTACGGGCGTCTGGAAGAGGCCGAGCCACTCATTCAGCAACTGACCACAGACAAAGATCCCATTTTACGTAGGTCTGGCATGTACACCATCGCCATGGCCTACTGCGGTACCGGGCACAACCAGGCCATCAGGAAGCTGCTTCACGTTGCGGTAAGTATACACCATTTTTTTAATATTTGTATGATACAGAGGTATTATATTTTTATTAACTTTACGTTAATAAGTTTAAATATTTTCGGTAGATTTCGACAAAAGAAACATATTTTCTCTTTACCGTTTTTCATTCCAAAGTTCAAGATATTCAAGGTCAAAATAACCGAGTTGTTCAAGTTTGAAATTAAACAAAAAATATTTTTAAAACATTTTGAGAGCCACTGTATTTGTATTCGTTTTAGTGCTGTAACCATGGTAATATCAGAGATTAACCGTAAACACCGTAATAACAAGGCCGCACAGCTGTGACGTAAAAATCTCGTGACGTCACCAACTGGAGGCGTAACTCTATTTAGCAGCGTTGATAATTACCCGATAAAAGTTCAAATTGTGGATTTTTTTTCACACAGTAGATATATTTCGAAGTTTTAAAATGCGATGAAAATAATAAATTTATCAATTTTATCTGTGTTCAATATTAAAGTTATTAACTTAGCTGGGAGCCATTATAATATTTGTGTTCGACATTTATATGAAGGCGAAAAGAAACTTAGGATTGTTTTGGTTCTATAAAAATCGATACTTTTTATGATTTTATGATGACAATACCTTGTCTAAAGAAATACCAAGCGATACAAGTACCATCGAATCAGATTGGTTCAACATCGACATGACTATTTCTGAACAAGACATCGAAAGTGTGAAAGAAGAAAGGCCTGTTATTGCTTATTTAGGAGGATATTGCTGTTATATTGTCTTAAAGGAAATTAAATGCGATACATGTAAGAATAATTTAACATTTTCAGACAACACTGATATTGAACAAAATACACTTATTAAAAACCTTACTAAAGGCAGTCTTGGGTTTCCAAATGATATAGTTTTATTTGAATATATAATTTTTAACAAAGTTTTGCAAAGCCATGAGGAGTTTCTCAAAATTCACAATAAAAAAATATTTTTATCAAAAATATCTTTGTATTACATTAAAAATAATAACACCATTATTAAAGTTTCCGCAATGTACTATTTATAATGCTAAGTTATCGTAAAAAATGTCATAAATTCTATTAGAAATACACGTCTGAAAAACTACTGTTCTAAAAAAAATGATAGACTTGGAAAAGGAAATAAAAGAAACTTAAACACAGTTACAGCATAAATAAATACAATGACGATGGATAATGTGAGATGGGATATCAATCTAATGTATTTTAAATTTTATGTTTAATTATTATTTATAACGTTGGGTCAAAGTCAACCATTAGGGGAGATATTGCGGTACAAAGATGGCGGAAAAATAATGTTTTTTATTTTTTATCTTGAAAACGAAAATAGATAGACTAATAAAATTTTATGGAAGCATTACTGTTATGAAAACACACTTTCTGGTAAATTTTCACTTTTTAAAATGAGTGGAAAGGGTTGAAATAAACTACCCCTATCATTCTTGTTAACGAAATTTAAAGAAAAATATTATCAAATACATGCAAAAAAATTAATTTGGATAGTTTAGTTTGTTTAGAAACTTTTTTATCTCTTGTATTTTTTTGATAAAACTCACCGATTTGAAATTAAAAAATAAAATGTAAAGCATTACATGTCAGGATAAAAAACATTTTCTGATAAAGAATCTAGTGGGCTGCTGTAATTTTTTTAGGAAAAAATCTAGTCGGCCGCTGTTACTTTTTAGGATGTTCCTAATATTATTTTATTTGACATTGCTCTACTGCAATACGTTAATATCTAGATGATTATTATTATCGTTATTATCACTAGATTCTTTATCTAAAAATGTTTTTTGTCCTGACATGTAATATTTTACACCTTTACATTTTATTTTTTAATTTCCAATCGGTGAGTTTTATCAAAAAAACACAAGAGGTAAAAAAGTTTCTAAACAAACTAAACTATCCAAATTAAAGCATTTGCATGTGTTTGATAAGATGTTTCTTTAAATTTAGTTAACAAGAATGATAGGGGTAGTTTATTTCAACCCCTTCCACTCATTTTAAAAAAGTGAAAAAATTACCAGAAAGTGTGTTTTTATAACAGTAATGCTTCCATAAAATTTCATTAGTCTATCTCTTTTCGTTTTCAAGATAAAAAATAAGAACATTATTTTTCCGCCATCTTTGTACCGCGATATCTCCCTAATGGTTGACTTTTGACCCAACGTTTATGAAGCAAACTACCCTTTATTTTGAACAAAGAATCACCCCCTGAAGTTTTTCGCATTTGTTTTGAAACACCCTGTATACGTATAAAGTGTATCAAATGCAATCAAAGTTTAGGCCTCCAGTTGATGACGTCACGAATAAGCTTTCCGGCCTTGTTATTACGGTGGTTACGGATTAACAAATTATACCGTGGGAAGATTTGCGGTGAACAGGCAGTTTTAAAAAGTTTTCTATAATATACAAGAAAATTTAAAAGAAAATGGATGATTTTCAACATCTTTTTTTGGAAAAAAAACTCGACGTGTTCCCGGGGTATAAATATACTACTCCTGAAAATATTTGCACTTATTTAACACTCATCCTGTATTTATGTGATATACAGGGTGGAATCCGAATTGTTTTTTGGAAAATGCAAAAATGCTGTGTCTCAGATATACAAGGTGTAGAAATTTGTTTTTTTTTCAAATAATTTCTAAAGTATAGTCGATATTTGATTAAAAATTAGTGTCTGTTTATTTTTTGAAATGAAAAATTTGATTTCGATGTCAATATGACTCCTACTTGTTTTTTTTTATTTCTAATAACAATGTAATAAGAAAAATTATCTCATAATCATTTTTCAGTAATGGTTTGGTTCAAATATCTTTGTAGAACATTCTAAAGCCTTTTTAAGTACGAATTTACAGAAATAATGGCCGAGATTCTAATTTATTCTTGAGAAAATGAAATGCGCCCTTAATAATCATTTCAAGCACACCGTCCGTTCGGCACAGAGAGTGCTTACTTCTTTTATCCTTTTAAATCCTTTTTTTTTCACCAAAAAAGAGAAATATACAGACAAATTCAAAGAACCCTTTGTGTAGTTGGGCCGAATCTTAAAGCGCTAATTGAATAAAATGAAAAAAAAAACGAGTGATGACACAAATAACAAAAAAAAACACATAAATAAATAAAACTATTTATAACTCAAGAAGAAATTTACAAGAAAAAAATAAATAGAAAATTAATTTTTAAATAAAGTAGGCTTGAAACTCATCCGCCATCTTTCGCAATTGACAGCTCACCTCACGCACGTTTACAGCTTATTGAAGTAATTTTGTATTAATTGATCTCTACTAAAAACTAGTTACTTAAATTAAATCACTGTATTTTGCTCCGTGATACGTAAAGGAAATAGTCAAGGGCTTTTTATTAGATTTCAGAAACGTATTGTATTAGATTTTCAAGCCATCCAAGTAGGAAATGTAATTCTACCTTTATCATCCCTTATTCGTCTCGATGCATTCTAGACAGCGTTTTTTACACTTTCTCACTCGAAGGAACCAGACTAGAAAAGAGACCATTTTCTGTGTTCCGAATGCGTCGATAAGCCCTAATAGAAATATATAGCGATGAGTATGGTACGGCTTCGGCAAAGATTTCGACCAATACCTCCTGAAGTACTAAGGCTGTGATTTTCAACTTCGGTTTGTCTCGACCTACTTTCGATTCTTAAAAACGCCTGAAAATTACTCGTGTGGGGATTTTTTGGCGTTTTTTGTTGCATCGTTCAATTTTGTTTTGTTTTGAGCTATTTCCAAAACGTGGCGGTATCTGTAACCGAGGCAAAGCGTTTTTTTCTTAAATTTCAGTGAAATAAATAAACGTAGACGTTTCTAAAATAGCTGTTGTTACGATGATATTTCGTTAATTACATTTTGTTTTATGTTATATTGATATATATTCCACAAAATTAATATTTGAACACGCGTTTATTATACCGGGTGTTGCATGGTCGGACGGGACATAGGAAATCCCACGTAAATTTTAATGGGGTTAATTATTGGTTTCCCTAATTATTTTAGAGAATAATTCTATTTAGGTTTATTGAAGAGCACTAAAACCCACATTGAAAAGAATAACTTTAGATATTTTTGATTAGCTCGTTTACGAGTTATCGCCGATTTCTTTTTAAATATTTGTCCTTTCTTATGGCCCTGTATTTACTTATGAACACCAATCAAGGTAATAGATAACTGTCAAATGAAGTTGTTATTTCAGAAATTTACCTATTTGGTGCTTTATTATTATTGAAAATAATAATATGTATGTAATAAATGAAAACTACATCGGAAATCTTAAAGATGTCAATTGCAAGGTTAATTATAGTATTATTACAATATTCAATAACTTATTAATTTATGTACTATTAAATTGTTAGAACTTTAGGATTTAAGATGTTCAAATATTCCTCCATCGACTGCTAGACAATAACCCAGGCGATCATAAAATTCTCTTTTTACATTTGCTAGTTGGTAAACTGAAATTCTATTGCATTCGGCAGAATTAGCATTTTTTAACTCGTCTAGATTTGGGTATTTTTTATCCTTGTATATCCTGTTTTTTAAAAGGCCCCAGACAAAGAAATCATTTGGCGAAATATCAGGAGACCTTGCTGGCCAATTTACTGTATGATTTAGGCCAACAGCCAGGGTATTATGTGCCGGGCAGCCATCCATTTGGTACCAACCTTCCCTAGCGGCATCATGTAAAGCAGGTAAAATATGATTTTCGAGTAGTTCCAAATAATATTCTGCATTTAAATTTCGCGTAAGAAATAATGGCCCGGTAATATTGTGTCCGAATATCCCTGCCCAAACATTTACTCTCTGTGGATATTGCGTCCTTGTTTCGACAAACCTGTGTTGGTTTTCTTTGTTCCAATATCGATAATTTTGAACATTGGGTTCATTATTTAAGGTAAACGTGCATTCGTCAGTGAAACATATGTTTTTTAAAAATTCCCTGTGTGTTTAAACACATTTGCTTTTTCGAATT